GCACCTCAACCCCCACAGGTGTTTGTAATCGACGTTTTGAGGCTATATTTCCCCACACTGGGGCCCTGGGTTGCATGGACAGTCTCGCTCCCCAGTTTCGCCTGGGTTATCTGTGTGCAAATGTGTGACCGCCCGATGAGGCAGCCACCTCGTGCTCTCACTGGGTCTGCCCGCTGCCACCCCGTGCTCGAGGTCTGCCAGCTATCTCCTGCACCTCTAGGGTCCCCCCATTGCCATCTAGCATTCTTGGCATCCATCACTGCTGCCTGGAGTGCCTGGGTCCGCAAATCACCACTTTTTTTTGTCATGATCCCTGTCTGCCTGGCCGCCTGACTCCACCCTCCTGCTGGTCTGGATGAATGTGTCTGTTTTAACTCCTTGGTTGTTGGACTTCTGTACAGTTCAATTTTCTGTCAGTTCTGGTTGTATGTTTTTTCTAAATGTTTGTTGTCCTTATTTTGGTTGTGTGAGGAGGCATAGTGTGTCTACCTATGCCTCCATCTTTGCCAGAAGTTGTTTCAACAAATACTTTTTAAAAATGAACAACTACACAGACAGAGACAAAATTTTCCCCATAGTTCATTTTCTAGTTAGCACCTTCAGATTTATTCTTTTGTTTGTTCGCTAAACAATGCTGGGGTGCTAAGTGTGACTAGGTGAACACACAGAATATTACTTTTGGAAAATGAGGTCCAGGGATGTTTTCAGAAATCCCAAATCAGTCAGTTCTGCATGGGAAGAAGTTAGCACTATTCCAATATGTTCATTTGTAAACTCCTTCCTCTCATTTATTTTACTGTTTTTTAATCTTTCTATTCTGAATATTGATATGATTAAAAATAAGGAGAGTTCTACCAAAATTCAAATTTCTGGCTTCTCTCACTCAGAAAACCTGGTGACAAGGGACCTATGCTCCTGATCAGCAACAACTGGCCAATACTTACTCTGTTACACATCTGCCAGATGACAGGCACTTACACTGTCCCAGGGCTGGAGGTCAAAAAATGTGTGAGATGAGCCCTGGCTGGTGTGTTTCTCTCTTTATTTTTCTTCCTCTTTCTCCCTCTCTTTCCCTCTCTCTAAAAGTAAGGAAATAAATAATCTTTAAAAAAATGTATGAGGTGAGAGCTCTGTTATCAAGAAATTAAAATTGAAAAAGTCAAATAAACCCTGGCTGGCGTGGTTCAGTTGGTTGGGCATCATCATCATGCAAAGTGAAAGGTCACTGGTGTGATTCCTGGTGAATCTAAAATCTTAAAAAATAATAATAATAATAAAAAACCCCTCCTGAGTAATAGAAGACAGTCTCCTGAATACAGAAGACTATTGAATGACTCTATTTTCTGTGAAACTTTAAGAGAGATAGAGAACTGTATTCTTTTTTAAAAAATATTTCATTTGAGCCCTGGCTGGCGTAGCTCAATGGATTGAGCGTGGGCTGCGAACCAAAGCATCGCAGGTTCGATTCCCAGTCAGGGTACATGCCTGGGTTGCAGACCATGGCCCCCAGCAACTGCACATCAATGTTTCTCTCTCTTTCTTCCTCCCTTCCCCCTCTAAAAACACATAAAATCTTTTAAAATTATTTTATGTATTTATTTTTAGGGAGAGGGGAAGGGAAGAGGAAAGAGAGAGAGAAATATCAATGTGTGGTTGCCTCTCATGCACCCCACTACTAGAGACCTGGCCCACAACCCAGGCATGTGCCCTGACTGGGAATGTAGCTGGCCACCCTTTGGTTCACAGGCCCATGCTCAATCCACTTACCTATACCAGCCAGGGCTAGAACTGTATTCTTAAAATGGGTGCACTTAAGTTCATTTTTAAAAATCTACTCCATTCTCACAAATACAAAAGATTACTGTGTAAGGTGATGGATGTGTTAATTGACCTTACTGTGGTAATCATTTTGCAATATATACATATATGAAATCATTATGGTGTACACCTTAAACTTGCACAATGTTATATATAAAATATATCTCAATAAAACTGGGGAAAAAGGTCCTATGACCAAAAAGATCCATTCTGTGTCATACAAAATAGTGCAGGAGGAAGCTCTAGGCGTCAGTTCCTCCTCTGCTGAAGTAAACTTTAAACGGGTAAGAACAATTATAATCAACAATTTCAAAACTGTGGAAACTAACCAAACATGTATAACCACCAAGAGAGTGCTTGGGAGGGAGAGCCTGCTGATTTTTCATAACCAGCTGTACTGCCCATTCCTCAGTCCCCACTGGAACTGTGAGGAGAGCAGCCTAGGCTCCGGGAGCGGCTGGGTTGGTGCCAGAGTGGTCAGTGGCAATCTTGTCTTTCAATATCTGGGCTTGTGAGAAGTTGCGGGTTGAGCATTTGGGTTGGTCTGGTGGTTTTCTAAGGGACTAGGGCAGACCATTGCCTTGGTTTTGCCCTCCTTAGGCAACAGCAGCTTCCCTGGAGGTATCTGTTGGAAAATGTATGGGACTAGAACCTTCTATTTTGGTGGAAAAGGTGGGAATTGTTCCAGGTTCGTGGCTGACTGCAGAGTTCATAGCATATGATCAGATCAGGATCCAATGTGGGTTGTTTTTTTTAAGTTTCTATATTTATTCATTTTTAAAGAGAGGGTAAGGGAGAAAAAGAGGGAGAGAGCCCTGGCTGGTGTGCCAGTGGCTTGAGTGCCAGCCTGTGAACCTAGAGGTCCCTGGTTCGATTCAAGTCAGGGCACATGCCTGGGTTGCTGGCCAGGTCCCTAGTTGGGGACATGGGAGAGGCAACCAGTCGATGTTTCTCTCTCCCATCCCCTCTCTCTGAAAATAAAACAAAATTTTAAAAAAGAAAGAGGGAGAAACATCAATCAGTTGATGGAGAGTATTATGCTAAGTGAAATAAGTACGCTGAGAAAAAGGCTTGGCCTCCAGATGTTGTTGAAACCACATAGCGTTCCATACACTGTTCATTGTCCCAAAGGGCCAGCTGTTTGTCTAGAGGCAATTCAAAGCCAGCTAAAGTTTTAGAAACTGCTTTAGGATTTAAGAGTTTTAGGAACTGCTTCAACATCAAGGAAGTTGGAGTTGTTCGTGAAAAAGCAACAAAATTCCACTCTGAAGCATTAAGCAAATTCATAGAAGAAGGGCACTATCTCCCCCCCAAATTTTAAATGATGACAAGGGTAATCTTGCCCAAATGAACTTTTGTCTGACAACTCACTTTCTAACATCTTCCCATGCTTTGTCCAGCGTCTCCACGCTGTAGACGCTCCCTCCCATGAGTCACTTAGTAGCTGTCTCTGTTATCAGATCAACCGACTGGGTATCGCAGAGCTGGTCTTCAAGTAACCTTTTTTTACTTAATAATGGCCCCAAAGCACAAGAGTACTGATGCTACCAATTTGGATATGCCAAAAAGAAGCCGAAAAGTGCTTCCTTTAAGTGAAAAGGTGAAAATTCTTGACTTAATAAGGAAAGAAAAAAAATCCTATGCTGAGGTTGCTAAAATCTACAGTAAGAACGAATCTTCTATCCGTGAAATTGTGAAGAAGGAAAAAGAAATTCGTGCTAGTTTTGCTGTTGCACTTCAAACTGCCAAAGTTACTGCCACAGTGTGTGATAAATGCTTAGTTAAGATGGAACAGGCATTAGGTTTGTGGGTGGAAGACATGAACAGAAAATGTGTTCCGGTTGACAGCACTGTGTTGCGCCAGAAAGCACTGAGCCTATACGAAGACTTCAGCAAGGGATCCTCTGAAAGGAGTGACACCAAGCCTTTTACTGCAAGTAAGGGATGGTTACACAGATTCAGGAGTAGGTTTGGACTGAGAAATGTAAACACTGCAGAGGCTGTGCCTGCTGTTGGAGAAGCTGCTGCCACATTTCCGGCAGAGTCGAAGTTGATTAAGGAGGAAGGTATGTATAGGAAAAAAACAGTGTATGTAGGGCTTGGTGTTATCTGGGGTTTTAGGTATCCACTGGGGGTGTTGAAAGGTATTTTCCCGCGGATAAGGGGGGACTGCTGCACATCAAGAGTGGCTGCAAAGTTTTCTTGCCAGATGCACAGGCTGGAAAAGGCGCTGCTGTGGTCGCCACCTACCGAGGAGGGGGAGGGGGAGGGGAAGGATGGCCGGCGTTGCTTGAATCCCCAGTGCGGAGAAAAATCACAAAATCAGTCAATCGCGCACTTTATATTAACGTATATAATCTCTGGGTCAAGTTTTTTAAACTTTTGACTTTAACTTAGGTTAACAGTAATGTCTCTGCATTTCCAAAATTCATGAGCTAATCATGACAGTTGAGAAGTCAAAAATAACTGGCGGGGATGGGGTGGGTGGATACTTTTGAGTAAAACTGCTTAGTCTTTGAACAAAACGGGCTACAAATCAGGTTGTCTGTTACCACTCCATGGCTTTTCCTCAACTTTATTTTTAAGTATCAAGTGCAGACGAGAGCAAAGCCGCAGGAGGTAAATAAAAACAGAAGTCCCACTCCCCCACCGTCCAAAGTCCGGGCAAAATGTTTCTTTTGAGGCAAGCTTACAAAACTAACGGGAGTTCTTTGTGTCCCAGAGGGTGGTGCAGGGCGGAGAAAATCCCCCGGAGGAGCAAGGAGGCCTCCAGGTCACCCTGGGGATCCCCGGCCTTTGCCGTGTCCTGGTCTCGCAATTTGCAGGGAATCTCGGGTGCAAGAGCAAGTGCGAGTCTTCGGCGGCGGCTGAAGGTGGCTGGAGCTCCGCAAGGAACAGGCAGGAGCCACCACCGGTCTGGATTTTGGCCCCTGCTCCCCTCCCCCACCCGGGGGGCCAAACAGGCTCCAGATGCAGCCACGTTCTCTATCCCACCACACCGCGCTTCCACCGACAATCCTTACACGGAGGGCAGGGTGCAGAGTTCTCCGCGTCCAAGGCACGGTGTTCGCCCGCGCGAGGTTTTCTGGGAGTTGTAGTCCACCACCCCCCAGCATCGCTTAAGGGGTACACATCGGAGACTACAACTCCCGCTGGGCGGTGGACTAAAACTTTTAAAAAAAAAAGGAGCGTGAGAAAGAGAAGCTCGGAGAACAGAGAAAAGGGGCCACTGATTGCCCCCTACCCGGCTTCCCCACACGCGCTTTCTAGCCGTGGCCGCCCGCCTGCCGCGGTTACCCCGGCTCCTCTCTGGGTCCCTCGCGATTGGATCCGGGCGCTAAGCGAGGCCCTGCAGCGCTGACAGAAGCTCGGCTGAGACGCACGGGCCCTTACCTTCTCACCTCCTGCCCGCTAGTCAGCTCGCCTCAGCCTGAGGCTGCTCCGTCGCCGCCACAGCTTGCGCACGGCTCACACTCACTTTCCTTCAGCACCCCTACCCCGGCGCTGCCTGGAGGCGGCTGCACTCGGGTAAGTCCATGTCTCCTCATCCCCCGCCCCCCGCCCCAGTTGCCCTCGCGAGCAGTCTTAATATTTGAGACTGCCCCTCTGGGACCTGCACGGAGAGTTTAGGGACTGTCGGCGGCCGAGTTGGGGTACTTCGGTTCCCCAACCTCGGGCGGCTGGCGTTGGGGGTTGGGCAGGAACAGACGTGGTTCCAGGGGGCGACAGTTGCACGCGCGCGCCTCCGTACCCATGGGTTAGGGGCGCGCGCGCCGGCGCCATGTTATGGTGGGGGGTCTCAACCTTGAGGCCAGCGCGCGAGCGAGCTTGCGGCTGCGCATGCCCGACTGCTGATTGGCCGGCTCGGATGGTGCGGGTGCGCGCCGCGGTGTCAGGCTCGATCTGTGGGGTCGCGTTAACTTGTGTCTCCGGGGCTGGTACTCTCGGGCAGCAGGCTCTCCGGATTGGCCGCCGGGCGGCGGGGGCGGTGCCGCGGTGCTTCTGTGCTTGGTAACTTCGGCCGGCGGGCGGGTGAGATTGGGCAGCGTTGCTACTCCGTGTCTCGGTTCTTCACTGCCTTCGCCCAGGTGGAAGCTGGGGTGGGCTTTGTCCCCGCCCGGCGGGCGCGCCTGCCCTGCTGGGCCGGTTTTGGTGGGGGAAATAAACACAATGACCGGAAGGAAAACCTCAGCCTTCAGGCCACGAATATAAGCCGTCTGTAATGGGCCAGCACCTAAGCGGGTTTCAGTGGGGGAGGAAGACAAAAAAAAAAATGTCTTCTTTGCCTTTCATCCCCCCTCCATATTTGCTTACCCAAGTTTTTTCTTTATTAAAGCGAGGTTTGTTTATTTATTTACTTATTCTTTAGTGCTATGGTTTTGTGCTAATTTGCGGCTGAGAGTGTTCAGATGTCTGGTCCAGTTCAAGTAGTGCTCACTTCAGCGAATGTGGGGCCCGATGCAGACTTCTCACCCTTTCTGCATTCAACTTTGCTGCAGACAATGGATTGATGGATGGGCCACAGTGCCTAAGAGTAGTCTCTGGGTGCTAAAGAGACAAAAGGGGAAGCTAGTTTGCAAATGAGAATGTACAGGAGACTGCCCTGAGGAGGCAGGGCTTGCATTTCACTCCTTCCACCTAAAGCCTATCATTTGGGATGACTGACTTTCTACTACAGTAGACATCCTCCGATCCACGATTTTGCTTCCCGCGTTCCAGTCGAGGTCAGAAATGGAAAATTCCAGAAATAAACAATTCGTAAGTTTTATATTTCTTTCTCTGTTCCGGTTAGAGTGATGAGGTCCTGCTCTGTCTCACCGGGATGTGAATCATTCCTTTGTCCAGTCTATACACACTCACACGCCACCAGCCGCTTGTCAACTCTTTTGGTATACAGTGCTGGTGTTCGACTAACACTTACTTTCCTTAATTATGGCCCCGAAGGGCAAGAGTACTGATGCTACCAATTTGGATATGCCAAAAAGAAGCCGAAAAGTGCTTCCTTTAAGTGAAAAGGTGAAAATTCTTGACTTAATAAGGAAAGAAAAAAAATCCTATGCTGAGGTTGCTAAGATCTACAGTAAGAACGAATCTTCTATCCGTGAAATTGTGAAGAAGGAAAAAGAAATTCGTGCTAGTTTTGCTGTTGCACCTCAAACTGCCAACGTTACTGCCACAGTGCGTGATAAATGCTTAGTAAGATGGAAAAGGCATTAGGTTTGTGGGTGGAAGACATGAACAGAAAATGTGTCCTTGTTGACGGCAGCATGTTGCGCCAGAAAGCACTGATTCTGTATGAACATTTCAGCAAGGGATCCTCTGAAAGGAGTGACACCAAGCCATTTACTGCAAGTAAGGGGTGGTTACACAGATTCAGGAGTAGGTTTGGACTGAGAAATGTAAACACTGCAGAGGCTGTGCCTGCTGTTGGAGAAGCTGCTGCCACATTTCCGGCAGAGTTGAAGTTGATCAAGGAGGAAGGTATGTACGTATTAAAAAAACATAGTACATACAAGGTTTGCTACTGTCTGCGGTTTCACGTATCCATTGGGGTCTTGGAATGTATACGCTGTGCATAAGGGGGGACTACTGTAAATGTTTTTGCTTTGTCCATTCTTAAGCTAGTGTAGTCTACTGCCTTGTGCTTTCCTTTAGCTTGCTTCTCAGTATCTTCGTTCACACCTGTAGGCTAGAATGACTTTTTCTGTTCTTCAGGTTCTTCTTGCTTATATGTCTTCACTTTTTTAAAGGCTATATTGTTGGGTCAGAATTGGCTGTTCTTACCTTATCCCAGTCAGTATGCCTGCCCCTTCTAGACAACCATCTTTTTTCTCCTGTGTGCATGTGTTTGGTTCTGCCTTGTTTTCCTGAGTCTGACCTACTCACTAGGTATTAAACTCAAGGCTTTTCTGCCTGTGTCCTCCTCCTGGTCTACAACTGTTCAAGTGCTTTAACAACAGCTAACATTTGAATACTTTTTATGTGTCTGGCATTGCTCTGAAGCCCTTACCATATGTTTTCTTATTTAATCTTTAAAGAACAATCCTGTAATTCCATTCTATAGATGAGGAACAAGAGTAGAGAAGCTGGGTAATTTACTCTCGATCACCCTGTCAAGTTAACCTTGACTCTAAGGTTTGAATCTAGGCCACCTGACTCTCAACCTGGAAGCCACTGGTTCTCAAACTACTTTGAGCATCAGCATCCCCTGGAGGACTCCTTAAAACACAATTGCTAGGTCCCTCCCTGGGTGGGGCCAAGTAATTAGCATTTCTAACGAGTTCCTTGGTGGTGTTGATACTTTAGAACCTTTCACACTGGCAGATTAAGTTTTAAGTGAGGGAAATTTATAGATGGGTGCATTTCATTACTTTAAAGCTAGATCTTGCCCAGACTGGTGTGTTTCAGTGGGTTGAGCATCAGCCGGCTAACTGAAAAGTTGTGGGTTCGATTTCCAGGGAGGGCAGGTGCCTGTCTTGAGGGCCAGCTCCCCAGTTGGGGGTGTCCAGGAGGCAGCTGATCCCTGGTTCTCTCACACATCCATGTTTCTTTTCCTGTGTTTCTCCCTCGCTTTCCTTCTCTCTAGAAATGAATAAATAAAATCTTAAAAAACAACAACTAGATCTTAAAGAAACAAAAATAAGCTGAGCTGTTTACAATTTACTGAAAGTTAAAAGTTTTTATTACCAATGATTACAAAATTAAATGTTTAAAAAAATAAAATGTCTCCATTTTAAAAAGAGCCCAGGATATTTAAATACAGAACAAAATTAGGAATCCAATAATTGACTCTTACTCACTTAGTTAATTTATTCACAGCACAGGCATTTCTCTCTTTCCAGAGATGCCTAAAGCTCATCCCATCCCCACCTTGGAGTACAAAGCCTGGGCACTGGAACAGGTGGGGTCATAGGGCTAGAGCTTGGGACTGAGATAGCTTGGGCCAGGCTAAGGCTGGCAGAGCAGCCAGAGCTCCTGCCCCTCCTCCCTCAGCTACTTAGACCTCCCAGGATTTGGCTTAGTTTTAAGAATATGACTATATGGTCTGGCATTAAAATATAGGTTTTGGGTTCTTTTTATTGTGGCACAAGTCTTGTTGAGAAAGACTTTTTTATATAGTGAATTTCTTAATGGGGAAAGTAATGCCAAATTAGGTAGGTGTCAGGATGGGCAGGGGAGGACAAAATGGCGGCCGGACTACAATAAAAATGGCGGCTGAACTGTAACCCAGAAGGGATGGCCCACGTCAAACCAGGGTGCAAGGGAAACCATCAGTGACATGTTGCCATTTTGTTCACAAGGGACCAATCCCCAGGTCCCATGGAGAGCCAACCCAAAATAAAACCCGCCATTTTCCGTGTTCCATGTAGCTTTCCTGACCCCGTTCCCTGCGGACAGGGAAATCTCACCTGGGTGCGCAAACCCCAATAAAGCTCTATACTGCCTACTTTTGTGGCTGATCAGCATTTATTCCTTGGAGGAGCCTAAGAAAACCTTTCACTAGGAGGAATGGGATTGGTTTACAATTAGGGTCTATCATTTCTGATGATTTTTAGCTTGATGGTGTGTTCTAAAACATAAAATATAGAAGACAAGCTCTCTAACCCAGGCTGTTGTTATTATGTAAAGGAGCAGTGAATAAAACACTGAAAACCTTCTAAACACTTAACTTTTTCTCTGATTACTGGTGACTAGCTGTTTACATTGCATTTCATTTCAGTTCTACCATTGTTTTATTCTTTATTGAAAATGTGAGTTTTTACCCTGGCTGGTGTAGCTGAATGGATTGAACTTGGGCCTGTGAACCACAGGGTGGCTGGTTTGATTACCAGTCAGGGCAGATTCCTGGGTTGCATGCTGGGCCCCCACCTCTCCTAGGGGGCGCACAAGAGGCAACCTCACATTGATGTTTCTCTCCCTCTCTTTCCCTCTCTCTAGAAATAAAATTTCAAACAAAGACAACATGAGTTTTAAATATTGCAGTCCTCTTCTTAAGGGTTGTGCTTATAATTAACGTGAAATTGTCTTAATCTTTGGGCTCTGCCGATGCTGATCAAGTAATTTTTATATATGTCTAGGGGAAAGCATTTTTTTGAAGAGTTTTTTGAGAAGTATTATTCTAAGAATGGTATTTCACTTTTCAAAAATGTGTTAGAGGCAATTTATTTGAAAGATAATTGTCAAGAATTTTATTAATATCAACCTACTAAAGATCATAACATTTTTCTTCAAAAGTTGTATACATTTATTTGGGTTAAACTTATTCATTGTTACTAACTGAAAGAACATAAGAAATTCAATTAATCAGTTCATTGTAATTATAGAGTTAAAATTCATTGTATTCAGTGGGCTTAAAATGGCAGCAAAGCATTTGAAGAATATTATTTGATTATTGGATTAAGAAAGTATAGCTGAGGCTACCTGCCTGGGGCGGTAACATTAACAGTTAGTATTCTGGAGGATATATGCAGACTGGAAAAATTACGTGGATAAATCAGAAGTGCTGAGGTTATTATCTTGATATTCATTCTCCATTCTTTTCTTCCTTCTGCCTTTCCCATTTTCCTTGTGTTTTGTCCTTTACTGGAGCGCTTATCACTGCAGGTGTTTTTTTATTTTTTCCTTTTTTCTCTTTGTTTGTATCATCCTTGTATTCGATGGTTGTTTCTGAAACTACTTACTACTCTGCTGTTTCCCATGTTGGCCTAGTGGAAGAGTGAGAGAAAGTTTAATGTAGTCATGGATTGTCAAGAGTTGATGGAGGATTTAGTTGTAAGATTAAAACTATAGAGTAGTTTTAGGGAATTGGTTTATTTAAAAAGTGTATAACTTGCGTGGCAAAATGAATTCATAACTGAGAGAGGGAATATCACTTAGTGAATATAGACATAAGTCCTGAAGTCAGACTACCGGGATTCAAAGCCTGGTTCTTGCCGCTTCCTAGTGACGTTACCTTGGCAGTTCACTTTCCATCTTTGTGTCTTAGTTTCCCTCTTTTAAAGGTGGGGTGATGATAATAGAATCTGTTTTTCTTTCACAGCTTTGAAGATAGAATGAGTTAAAGTGCTTAGGATGGTGTCTGGCATACAATAAGCATTCAGTAAATACTAGCCATAAAAATACTGTTTAATACTTTTGAGAAATTGAATTTCCTAAGGAAATGAAAATTTTGCAGTTTTGACTACAAAGTTAATCTCCAGAAACTCTGGAGAATATAAAGTCTGGGAGGACCAAGACTTGTTCATCCTGGGATTTTTCTCCTTGTGATTGTTAAATTGTTTTTGTTTTTGTAATATGGCAAAGGAAATGATATTTTTCCCTTAGCAAGAATTGTATATGATTATATTATAGTATAATTATAGAAGCAGAGAGTAGTGAAGAGGTCTTATTTAGGGTGGGTATCTGGTTAAAATGAGCCCTGGTTTGTAGACAGAACATCTACATTTATTTTTTTTCTTTATTGTATTTTTTTAAAGATTTTATTTGTTTCATTTTTAGAGAGAGAGGAAGGGAGAGAAACAGAGAGGGAGAGAAACATCAGTGTGGACACCTCCCACATACCCCACACTGGGGACCCAGGCATGTGCCCTGACTGGGAATCGAACCAACGACCCTTTGGTTTCACAGGCTAGCGCTCAATCCACTGAACTGTACCAGCCAGGGCTGTTTGTTTGTTTGTTTTAAGTTTATTTATTGTCTTTTTTTCCATTATCATTTATCCCACTTATAGCCTGCTCCCCCCTGCAATCACCACACTGTTGTCCATGTCCATGAATCCTTTTTCCTTCCATCCCACCCCCATAGCTGTCATCCTACTCTCTAGGTATTTTGCTTGTTTGTTCAGTTTGTTCATCAGATTCCACATATGAGTGAATCATGCAGTATTTGTATTTCTCTGACTGGCTTAGTTCACTTAGCGTATGTACTCTAGGTCCATCCATGCTGTCACAAAGGGTAAAACTTTCTTCTTTTTTTACAGCTGAGGAGTATGCCATTTGTAATGTATGTGTATAATGTATTGTAGAGACTAATGTCTACCTTGCAAATAGTGAACTTACAATTGAAATAGCTAGCCTCTGGAACTGGTTACATAGCAGATAGATGGCCCAGACTGGTGTGGCTTGGTTGGGCATTGTTCTGCAAAGTGAAAGGTTCCCATTTCAATTCCTGGTCAGGGCATATGCCTGGGTTGCAGTTTCGGTCCTTAGTGGGGTGCATTCAAGAGGCAACTGATCGATGTGTAAGGAGTAGGGAAAAACTTAGACCATGAGAAAATAGGAACCTAGCTAGCTAGAGCCAGGAGATTACTAGGTTACTGAACAAACATCCTGCCTTCCCGCCTTATACAAGAATGCTTGGTTTGAAATCCCCGCGAGCGGTCTTTGTAAGCAAATAGCTAACCCGCTACATCAGCTTCTGTGAAACGCTTGCTTGCTCGCACCAAAACCCCTATATAAGGACCTAGATGTGAGCGCTCGGCGCGACTCTCTTCTGCAGCCCATGTGGGTACCGTGTCTCCAGACACTTTGAGGGTTTGCCCCTGCACAGGTTAAACTTGGCCAATAAAGCAACATCTTTGATACCCTGAAAGTCTCCGACATTTGTTCTCGCGTTTGCTGAATGCAACATTTGGAGGCCCCAGTGAGATCTCCCTCGGTAGAGTTTCGGTTCGGAGACCGAACGGGCAGTGTAAGTATTTACTGAAGGATCCTCTTTTGGTTCCTGGTTTCTGGGCTCCGGAGCAAATAACCCTGCGGTAGTAGGCGGGACGCCGCCCCTGGAATCTTGTTTTTGTAATTAAATAGAGACCGGTCACGTTAGATTCCCTTCCTTTTGCGCCTCGCTGTGCTGCGATTAGCTTTAGTTTGTAGGCGTTAAGACTAGAGTGTGTGTAAATGAATGTGTCTGTAGCCCCACGGGAAAGCCTACGGGGCATGAGAGGGCCCTAACCTGCGAATCCTGTGTCAGATCATACGGCATAACGGTTGGCAGTCTAACCCGGACTCTGATCAGGCAACCTTAGCCAAGATCGGCATCATCTCACGAGAGGGCAGGCCAGGCAGGCAAGCGACTGAGCTCTGTACCTTGTTTGTCTGTGTGGTGTGTTGCATATTAGGTACGTCCAAGGTTTGTGTCTTCGTGAAAATGCCTTGTCTGTTGCCTTGTTTGTCTGTGTGGTGTGCTGGTCGTTTTTAATTTAAGCCCTCCCAAGATGGGGCAGCAAGAATCGGCTCCTGGCTCCCCACTTGATTGTCTATTAAAGAATTTTTCTGATTTCCAGAGGCGGGCCCGAAGCTATGGCAGACCACCGCCGGATCCTGAGTTCCTGCGGACGCTAAGCCAATTGGAATGGCCCACCTTTGATGTGGGATGGCCCGCTGAGGGTACTTTTGATCTGCCCATCTTGTTTGCAGTGCGGGCCACAGTATACAGGGTTCCCCATCCCGACCAATTTGTTTATATTGATGTTTGGGTAGACATTGCAACAGAAAGGCCGGGGTACATAAAGAAGTGCCTGCGAGGGAGCCAGCGGGGGAGGCGGGCGATTTGCCTGGCCACACCTAAAAATGGGGGGAAGGGAAAAGACACAGCACCCGCCCCAGAACCTCCCCGAGCTCAGCCTAGGTTGTACCCAGTTTTGTCCGGTCCACCGGAGGACCATCTAGACCCAGTGAATGCACCTCCTCCTTACCCTCGTAGGGAGGAGCCAGATTCCTCTCTGCCAGGGGTCATCGGACTTATGAGCCCACCACACACTTGGGGAGGGGCCATTTATGGGGCGGGAGGGGCCACCATCTTGCCTCTCCGGGAGGTGCCCCCGGCGCCGGATGCTCCATCGCGGGCGCCCCCACGGTTGATCTATGTCCCCTTTTCTACTAGTGATTTATATAATTGGAAGCATCAGAATCCCCCATTTTCTGAAAAACCGCAGGGACTGATTTCCCTCCTAGAGACTATTTTCGGGACTCACCAGCCAACCTGGGATGATTGTCAGCAGATTTTGCAGACTCTCTTCACGTCAGAGGAAAGAGACCATATTGTAAGGGAGGCTGCAAAAGCTATACTCGGAGAGGAGGGAGAAACTATGCCTGAAAGAGGGGAGGTCTAGGACATCCTTCCATCTCAAACCCCTGCTTGGGACCCCAACACTACTGGGGGAAGAGACGTGCTCCTCCAGTATCGCCGGGCTCTACTCAGGGGGCTCAAGGCAGCAGCTAGGAAACCTACAAATTTTAGTAAGGTTAGCGAGGTTATTCAAGGCAGAGAAGAATCCCCCGCTGCATTCTTAGAAAGGCTCATGGAGGCATATAGAGTATATACTCCCCTGGACCCTGAGGCAGAGGAAAATCGAAGGCTGGTGAACATAGCTTTTGTAACACAGGCTGCCTCAGACATTAAAAGAAAACTACAGAAAATGGAAGGATTTGAAGGAGGGAATAGAAGTAAGTTGCTAGAGATAGCTCAAAAGGTTTATGTGAATAGAGATGACCCAGAAGTCGGAAGGGCAAAAGAAGTTGCCAAAATTCTACTGACAGCACAGCAGCCCCCAACTAAGGGTAAAGGAAAAGGAGGGGGCCCACAGAGAAGTCAGAGGCGGCGAGTAGATAAAGACCAATGTGCGTACTGCAAAGAGAAAGGACATTGGAAGCGGAACTGTCCCAAGTTAATGGCAGAAGGATTAGAGCCGCAAAAGGGCCCCGACGTGTTGCTCCAAACCCTGGACTGACGAAGCCAGGGCTCCATTCCAGTTGGCTCCCAGGAGCCCCTGGTAACCTTGACAGTCGAAGGTAAGCCTATAGACTTCCTGGTCGACACGGGAGCCACCTATTCAGTTTTAAAGCAACCTCAAGGACAGATCCAGAAAGCAACTACCAAAATAGTAGGGGCCACGGGAAAGGCAGAAGCATATCCATGGGCCACTGCACGAGTAACTGACCTAGGAAAAGGAACAATTACTCACTCTTTCCTAGTCATTCCAGACTGCCCCTACCCATTGCTCGGGTGGGATTTATTACAGAAGCTTTGGGCTACCATTACCTTCAGGCAAGTAGACGGTTCCTCAGAAAGCCGGGAAGCCGGAGTCAACCTATACATAACTGTTCCGCCGTCTGAGGAATACCTACTGGCCACCATCCAAGAAGGTTAGGAGGAGACAGCGGGGGTCCCGAACGATCTCTTAGCAAAGATGCCTGGTGTATGGGCGGAGACCAGTCCACCTGGATTGGTGGCTCACCAACCACCCATCCTGGTGCAATTGTTGAGCACTGCCAGCCCGGTCAGAATTCAGCAGTATCTGGTCCCAGCACAAGCCAAGCAGGGGATCGCACGGCACTTGCAATGCCTACTCGAAGCAGGGATACTCCGACAGTGCCAGTCAGCCTGGAACACCCCTCTACTCCCAGTCCAGAAGCCGGGGACACTTGACTACCGCCCCGTGCAGGATTTATGGGAGGTGAATGTGAGGGTAGAGACAATCCACCCTACGGTGCCCAACCCGTATACCCTGTTAAGCTCGTTGCCTCCAACACACACCTATTATTCGGTCCTAGACTTGAAGGATGCCTTTTTCTGTATCCCGCTGGCACCCCAGAGCCAAGACATCTTTGCCTTTGAGTGGAATGATCCCGAGAACGGGTTAGTGGGCCAGTTCACCTGGACTCAGCTGCCACGAGGGTTCAAGAATTCCCCCACCATTTTTAATGAGGCCCTAAGTAAGGACTTGCGGGCCTTTCAGTCATCACACCCGTCAGTGGTGGTATTGCAGTATGTTGATGACATCCTCATAGCCGTGAGAAGCGAGGAAGACTGTGAAGTGGCTACCACAGACACTGCAGGATCTCGAACAGATGGGGTATCGGGTCTCTGCCAAGAAGTCCCAAATCGTGACTCAAACTGTAAGTTACTTGGGGTATAACTTGCAGGGTGGCCAGAGGACCTTGTCCAGCCAGCGGATCCAGACGGTCCTGCAAATCCCGGAGCCCACCACCAAATGACAGGTGCGTGAATTCTTGGGAGCGGTAGGATACTGCCGACTCTGGATCCTGGGTTTCGCAGAATTGGCCAGACCCTTACACAAATTGACCCGGGGAAAGGAGGAATCATTCACATGGACCGATAAGGAGAGGCAGGCATTCCAAGCCCTTAAGGAAACATTAGTGGCTGCCCCGGCCCTGGCTCTGCCTGATCCGGCTAAGCCCTTCTGGCTATTTGTGGCCAAGAAGGGAGGAATTGCACTAGGAGTACTCAGCCAGGAACTCGGGCCATGGAAGAGACCAGTGGCCTATCTATCCAAGAAGTTAGACCCAGTAGCCTCTGGGTGGCCCACCTGCCTGAGGGCACTTGCCGCCATGTCAGTCCTAGTCAAAGAGGCAAGCAAATTGACTTTGGGCCAGGACATACAGGTGATCAGCGAACACTATGTTGAACAGGTCCTCAGGGCACCTCCTGATCGGTGGCTATCCAACACCCGGCTAACGCACTACCAGGCACAGCTGCTTAATTCGCCATCGGTTCGTTTCCTGGAGACCACGGCCCTCAATCCGGCTACCCTTCTGCCCATGCCGGACTCTACTATAGCCCATGATTGCAAACAGATTCTAGACACAGTGACTGGCTCCCATCCAGATTTGAAAGACCAGGCACATGAAAAGGTTGATTTGACTTTGTTCACGGATGGTAGCAGTTTTGTCACGGACGAGTTAAGGCATGCAGGGGCAGCAGTGACCACTGAAGATGAAATATTATGGCAGAAGGCTCTGCCTGCAGGAACCTCTGCACAGCGGGCTGAGTTAATTGGGCTAACTCGAGCCCTGCAGATGGCGGAGGGAAAAACTGCCAACATTTATACTGACAGCAGATGTGCCTTTGCCACTGCCCATATACATGGAGTCATATACAAGGAACGAGGCCTCCTAACTGCAGGAGGGAAGGACATTAAGAATAAGGATGAAATCCTCACTCTATTAAATGCTATATGGTTACCTACTAAGGTTGCCATTATCCACTGCAAGGGATATCAAAAAGGAGATTCACCAGTCGAAAAGGGGAATTGGCTAGCAGACTCAGCTGCGAGGGAGGCCGCGTATGGCTCCCCAGAGACTGTACTACCTCTCCTACCTCCGCCTATGCTGCCCCCTCACCCCAGTTATACACCCAAAGAAAAGCAAGATGGAAAGAGACTGGGGGGAACGCAGAATCAGCAAGGATGGATAGAATTACCAGGCTCAAGACTCTGCCTGCCCCAAGGACTCATAAGGCAAATTATTAAAGACATTCACACCAGCACACATCTAGGACAAAATAAGTTAGAGCAATTAATGTGCCGGTACTATTATAGCCCAGGAATGAGAAGTATTATCCAGTCAATTGTCTCCAGGTGTAGCACGTGTGCTAAAGTGAACCCACCAAGTAAGAAACTGCTTCCCTTGGTTAGGTATAGAGGAGGCACTCCTGGGGAACTCTGGGAAATAGACTTCACTGAAAAGACCCCTGGAAAGTATGGCTATAGGTACCTATTAGTCTTACTAGACACCTTCTCCGGGTAGGTAAAAGCATTCCCCACCCGAGGAGAAACAGCATCCACGGTGTTGGGAAATTGTACCCAGGTATGGCATACCCCTTGCCCTAGGCTCAGACAATGGGCCGGCCTTTATATCTGCCATATCACAGGAACTAGCCACAAAATTAGGTATTAAGTGGATGTTACATTGTATATATAGATCACAAAGCTCAGGACAAGTAGAAAGGATGAATAGGACTCTTAAAGAAACCATAATTAAGTTAAGAGAGGAGACCGGCAAAAACTGGGTGGAGCTACTCCCTTTTGCCCTTTTTAGGACATGGTGTACCCCTTACCTGAAGAAATGGACACCATATGAAATCATGTTTGGGCAGCCGGTACCACTTGTACCCCGACTGACCACTGAAGAACTGGAAATGTCTAATCATAACTTCTTAAAGTCCTTACAGGCACTGCAGCATATTCGACGTGAGGTGCGGACCCTCCGACAGGCGATCCAGGTGGATAAGGCTGAAGGTGCCAAACTACCGGAAGCACCAGAACCTGGACAGTGGGTGTGGATCCTGAACCATAGGAGGGGCAACCTAGAGCCTCAGTGGACTGGGCCCTTTCAAGTACTGCTAAGTACCCCCTCCACAGTTCGGGTGGCCGAGAAGCCCTACTGGATCCATCTCTCCCACACTAAGCCAGCCCAACTGCCCAGGGATAGCCAGCAAAAATGGCAAGTCAAGCAACAGCCAGGAGAACCCTTGAAACTCACCTTCTCCTCTGTCTAGGGCTGGTAGTATCCTGGTGTCTGGCCTGCTCAGGGTTAGAGAGACAGGAATGGGTCTTAATTAGAACGGCAGATGGGACTGCGCTTGCTGAGAATTATACTTGGGGAGGGGAAGAGACACTTAACCTGACTATTGATCTCTCTAAACTTTTTGGAGACAGTCTGTGGGACTCATCACTCTCTGACAGATTGGGAAGCAGCAATCTGTATACCTCTTCCGAAATTGTGGGTGGAGGAGCGCCGTTTAAGGCCATTAGTGAAAGATGAAGAAGAATTCCTGCACAAACAACTAAGTCGAACAACAGCATATGGGTGTCCCACTCCAGATAGGAAACGGGCACGAGGGTGTGGATATGAAGGTGACTTTTATTGTAAAAGCTGGGGTTGTGAAACAATAGTAAGCCCATTAGAATGGACCCCTGGAGGAGGAAGTGATTCACATATTAAGCTTACCAGACACAAGGGAGACACTGCTCTATGTAAAATAAGAAATTGTAACCCAGTAAGTATAACAGTTCTACATCCAACTGACCCAGAGTGGGTTAAGGGTCGTACATGGGGAATTAGATTGTATACATTGGGAACTGACCCAGGAACATTTTTTACTGTGAGAAAATTACCCATTAAATATAAGCCTCCATTTATAGGAGCTGGGGGCAGACTACCCCCACGACTGCCTCCTATGAGACCCCCGACGGAGCCTCCTAGACGAATAGCCGAAAACTCAACTAGTCCAGAAGACCTTAGTCCAACTCCCACGGAGCCTGAGATAGCCGAGCAACGGCTGCCTGTTATAGGCCGTACTCCTAACCCCTTCCTAGAGAGACCGCATCATCAAGATAATTCAGTCTTAGAGCTTTTAGATAAAGTGTTTCCTTTCTTTAACAGTACACAGCCAAGTGTAACTGAATCCTGTTGGTTATGTTTAAGCCCTAGACCTCCATTTTATATTGGATTAGGAGCAAATACTTCCCAAGGGGGAGAACTAGCCCCAAATATTACAGTATTACAAGGGAGCCCGAGTAAGGAACACATGGAAGAAATTGATGCATGTATCATGGAGGAAGGGCTAACTCTAGCTGAATTCCACGGAAGAGGGACTTGTTATTTGTTGGCCAATTTTGTATTAACCTCTAATTATAGTGACTATTGTATAGACCTTCAAAATGTATCCCTTACAAGGAAAGCGCCCCAGGTCATGCAGGCACCAGAAGGTATTTGGTTTGTATGTACTCAAGGTATCTATAAGTGTCTAATAGCAATTAGCCCAGAATTATGTGTAAGTGCCTACATAATATCACAAGTGTATTTATATGGTGGAAATCCTAACTTCCTCTTAGGGCTTCCTCAACGGGTCACTCGTGCACCATGATTAGTTCCTATAGTAGCTACCAAAGGTATAGTAGGTTCAACAGCATTAGGAGCGGCATCTTTGATACGGGGAGAACTAAGCCTAAGGAGATTATCCCAAATGTTTACCAAGGACATCTCTCTCCTTCAAGATCAGGTAATATATCTAGAGCGTCAAGTAGACTCCCTAGCAGAAGTAGCTCTCCAAAACAGACGAGGATTAGATCTCATATTCCTCAAGCAGGGAGGACTTTGTGCTGCCTTAGGAGAAGAATGCTGTTTTTATGCCAATCATTCAGGGGTAATAAGGGAGAATATCAAGACTTTAACCAAAAGACTCAAAGAAAGAGACAGTGAAGAAGAAAACTCCAACTGGTATGCCTCTATATTTAATACTTCCCCATGGCTAACCACCCTTTTATCTGCACTTGCAGGACCCCTTCTTTTGCTTCTGTTATTAGTTACTATAGGGCCCTGTATTCTAAATAAAGTCATAGCCTTTATTAAAGAAAGAATAGAAGTAGTAAAGCTAATGGTTCTATCTCAACCCTATACCATTATTCCTAATGATGAAGAGTCAAGGGTTTGACAAACCCCCAGAAGAAAACGGGGGAATGTAAGGAGTAGAGAAAAACTTAGACCATGAGAAAATAGGAACCTAGCTAGCTAGAGCCAGGAGATTACTAGGTTACTGAACAAATATCCTGCCTTCCCGCCTTATGCAAGAATGCTTAGTTTGAAATTCCCGCACGCGGTCTCTGTAAGCAAATAGCTAACCGCTACATCAGCTTCTGTGAAACGCTTGCTTGCTTGCTCGCGCCAAAACCCCTATATAAGGACCTAGATGTGAGCACTCGGCGCGACTCTCTTCTGCAGCCCGTGTGGGTACCGTTTCTCCGGACACTTTGAGAGTTCGCCTCTGCACAGGTTAAACTTGGACAACAAAGCAACACCTTTGATACCCTGAAAGTCTCCGACATTTGTTCTCGTGTTTGCTGGATGCAACATGTGGTTGCTTCTCACACGCTCACTCTAGGGACCTGGCCTATAACCCAGGCATATGCCCTGACTGGGAATCAAACCAGTGACCCTTTGGTTCACAGCCTGCACTCAATCCACTCAGCTACACCATCCAGGGCCAAAACTGTCATTTAAACCCAACTCTCACACTGTTTATCTGTTAAAGGGGATAAGTTTGTCTGTTTGCGCCTGTCAGCAATGTTTTGTGCTGTAAGTTACATGTTCATTAGACAGTTGTTCTGTAACACATCCACATGTTTATCTTTGAGCCAAATCCTTTATTTTCTTTGTAGAACTTGACTGATGTTGATATAAATCAGGTACTCCTCAACTCATCCATAATCTTTGTATCGTGAACAAAAAAGATATATTTTTGCTTCCGTTTGTTTGCAATGAGGGACAGTTAGTTTACTGCCTCATAAAGATTGCCTAGTGTTACAGCCTATGTACTATATAATTATTTACCTTGGGTTGTTTTTTTTTTAACCCATCTTTGATTATTATTGTGCATGAAAGAGGTAGATTGGAATTTGGAGATATGGATTCTAGTCCTTTGTTAGAAAATTAACTGGGTGACCTTAGTAAGATAGCTAATCTTTCTAGGTTGGGCTTATTTATAAAATAATACAACAAAATGGTTGCACTAAAATATCTTAAGTGTCACAGGTTCGATTCCCAGTCAGGGTACATGCCTGGGTTGCAGGCCATGACCCTCAGCTACTACACATTGATGTTTCTCTCTCTTTCTCTCTCACATCCCTCTCTAAAAACAAATAAATAAAATCTTTTTTAAAATCTTACATTTTCTTCTTGATTAGATTGTACATTGTAAGTTTGGAATGGGAACATGTTTGTTGAAAACAACATAATAGCACAAGGAAGAAAAGGTATGAATGTAATTAAAAAAAAAACAACAGATTAGGGTTATGGTACCTCTCTCACTTACCAATCTGACCTGAAACTTAATTTGAAGCAGATGTGTGTTGAAAATTTAGTGATATTTTAGAGATCGACATAATAAAAAATATTCAGAGCAACACCAGTTTTTTTTGTTAAGAATGATGATAATGTGTGTGAAAATCTTCAAGAGCTCTTTGGCTCACTTTAGTTTTTGTTATTCTGCTATTCAGTATTAACAACAAGGATCAGTAAATTCAAAGCAGAAATATGGGCAAATGAAAAAATTATGTGCAATTAGTGATTGGCATATGTTGAGGTAGAACAGACCAGTAAGGACACAGTGAAGCCTAATCCCTGAAATGGATCTCCAACCAGAAACACAAGAAAGTTTTAAAGAGTGGCTGGAGTCTGTTTTGAGAAAGATAAAAGAAGGCCATGCAGGTATCTATGAAACAATAGCTGACAAGGATAAAAGGTAAGGAAATGAAACAGGGACAGGCCAATTAGTTCATCTTTGAAACTCATAAAGGAGGATTAAAATCAAATTAGGGACACAACACATAAAAACTCAGAATGGAAGGATGAAGGAAATTGAAAGAAGACGACTTAGGTAGCTGATGTGATTTGTGTTCCTGGCGTGCTTTTCTCATGCCTTTCTCCACTGAGGGTCCTGTTTTGCCTTGTGAGTAGCTGCCTGTGTTCCTATTTCATGTGGTTCTTGCTACAGTAGGCTTGGTTATGGTAAGCTTGTGACACAAACTCCTAAAACTTTTGTGCAGAGAGTAGGAGGAAGATACAATAGTCTGTTGCGTCTGGGGTTACAGTACAGGTGTGCGGTCAACTTGAAGATGTTTGTGGCTGTTGCCTCTGTTTTTGGGCAGAAACCCATCTCATCTGCTCAAGTGAGGCAGGCCCACAGGGAGGGAGTAGAGATAGGGTTAGCTGTGTGTAGTAGAGTCAGTGCAACCTTTAGACTGAATACTTAAAAATAAAAAAAATTCCCTTCTTTACCTGAGATGGCTTGAATTGAGAATTTGTAGCCTCATAACGTGGCTAATTCATACCTTGTTCTTGAGAATGAAGGCCATTGTAAGGTGTGGTTCCTGGAGTTGGTGGAACTCAGAAGAATGTTATAAAATGATAAAGCCAACTGTTGGTAAAAATACCAAAAAGTTGATAAGGTAGAGAGGAATTTGGAGGGGTAATGTGAAAAGGCTAATATTAAAAAGAAAATGGGAACTCCAATATGAGAATTCAGAATTACCTTTGCCCTGTGGGCGTTTGCTAGTATCACCAAATTGACTTGAGGTTTGCAGACCTTGTGAGGTGAGAGGCTCAGGAATCAAAGTTCAGCCCTGCCTGGATGGCTCAGTTGGTTAGAGCATCATCCCAATAAGCCAAGGTTGTGGGTTTGATCCCTGGTCAGGGTACATACAAGAATCAACCAATGAATGAGTAAATGGAATAACAAATTGATGTTTCTCTCTCTCTAAAACAAACAAATAAAAATAACATGTTCTGGTTAATGACAAAATAGCACACTATTTAAAAAAGAAAAAAGAAAGAAATCAAAGTTGAAAACCTGCACAAAATTCAGGGGTTATATTGGAGACTCTTGTCATTAAGCTGGAGGTGCAAAAAAGACACCTGAGAAGTAAACCAGCTTATATCCCTATTTGCGCCGGTCTGGGTTAACATCTTCTTGGTAGTCCAAGGAGCCTGAAGCCTTGA